AACTTGCTGAATCAGAGTTACCGGATGAACATATAAATAAATCTGCGAGCTTCATCCTTCGCGAGGTCATATATTCCCACAGACAGCCGCATTCTCTGTCACGAGAGCGGAATTTTCTTCTCTATAAGCTTGGTATATCCCCGTATCATGACGGAGAGAATGAACCTTTGGCAGGATGGTTCGTAGTGTTGGAATCAGCGTATTTTGAAGACAGCTCGTAGACCCAGTGCAGCAAATATATTTATCGATGTGTTACCTTGCGGGTCGAGTGGAGAGCTGGGCATGTGACAGGCGTTTGGACGAGCCAAGTTGCTTCTACGACCTGGATAAGTATACACAAGAGCTGAAAAAAACTTTAAGCCTCCAGAGGGGGGAATTTAAGCTCGCGCTGATTAACGAAAGATTTGTCGGCGACCAATACTCGTACGCACGACGAGCTCAATATCTCATTTCGAATATCATCAACCAGCCAGCGATGTCTCAATGCAATTTGTAACATTCATGACAGGGCTCAATATCGGTCAGATTTGGAACAGCTGTTCCGCGAGATACCGAAGACATTGGACGAAGCTATACGAGAAAGATTTAGCATCAAGCAGGCCAACCCTAATGGCTTCATGGCTCGTCCCGCAAGATAACGAGCAACATTTTACGATGGTCTGGAACCAATGAATATTTCATAAGGCGATGCGACCGCCAACAGACAGCCACACAATGATGGATCGTTGTTTTCGTTACGGCAAGATCGGTTAGATTGCGATGATTTTGATAATTTCTTATCAAGCAATTATGCGACAAATGGTTTGCGACCGAATTGAATAGGCATTGTCCGACATTTCCAGCGTTTCTAACAGTGAAAAACGGGAACGTCCACTGGGGGCGGGGATCACTACTGAAGCAGTGCAGAGTTTTGGAAGTGCAGATTTATTGCGCCGATGTAACTAATCTATATAACTTTTTGCGAACAGCTGTGAGCGTGTCGAGCAAGAGCCAGCCTTGATAGTCCATAAAGTCAGTACTCAGAGTCCCTGGGATCTTGCAGACGCTGGTGCGCCGACACTTTCTGTTTACATGCAAGTGGTGAGAAGGCAAGGTTTGGACCTGCCTAACTCACAAAAAAAGCTCGTTGGATCAAAAGTGGTGATGCCTAAGCGCGTGTTGTATTGCGTACAGCAATCAAAAGTGATATTTTTTGAGGCGAAGACGACTTTATTGCACTCAACCTCAATGACAGCTTTGATCTGAATAGAGGAATGCCCTGGTTGAAAAGTTGCTACCCGAGCATTTACTGGAAGAAGATGATTACCGTCGGCAAGCAAGTCGACGAAGACAACCATATAAACTTGTTGAAGATTCGCTTCATGAAAGACAGGCGTGCGGCGGCCTCACACATAAATGACAACCCGTTAAGACCACTGAAAGGTGAGATTGTCAGGCTCCAAATTTGACTACTCTTGCGACCCAGAGTGATGTGAAATTCTGATTCGGCAGAGTTAAGGAATATAAGAAGACTAGCAAAAAAGAATGAAACTTTGCAAGCGTCTTTGATCAAGACACAAAAACAGCAGATGATAAAGTGTAAAATGGACAAAGAAACTACTTCAAGCGAATATGTGAACTTTAGCGGGGATGCCGTAGCTCTTTGCTTGGAGGAAGCTAAGGTCACCGACCTTACGTTCTATACAAGAACCAGTACGAGTGTAGCGGATCGCAATCCGCTGCCTCCAGGAGTACTTCAAACCTTAGACAAGGTAGAGACAATCTTTCGTTCAAATACCAACTTGAAACTGTATTTAATTGTCTTAGTCGCGGCAGAGCCGCCAATATCTAAGACCTTACTATTTATGTAGTAAAACCTTATTAATATGCACTACTACTGGCAATCCTGCCACGTAGTGGCTTCTTGTTACGATTTAGCCTCACCATTGTGTGATTACACCAACGTGTGTAATCCACACCCATGTACGGGCACACCATCTTGTTTGACCGTCCTTTCATACAAGGGTACCTGTAACCCCGTTACATGATCGACGTTGTCAACATTGAAGATGGTGACAGCAACAGAGTGCGACACATTCGAGAAGAAGATTCCCAGTCCGGTTTAAGAATTGATCATTTAGCATTGACGAGAAAAAGACGGAAAGCGTAGCCTGGCGAAAGGCGAAATTTTGCAAGTATGTGCGATTGTCAAAGTAGCCGTCGACGATGTCATCAGAACTGCAGAATATCAAACGCAAGGACACGGAGAGAAAGGCGTGATGAGCTGTCGTGGGGCGCCGTAAGGACGAATCCTGTGAATAGACTCGTCACGGAATATGCTGTTATTTCCCAGGCAGAGCTGGACGAATTGCCACATGATTGAGGCAGTTGCCGCCATATAGGTGATATTTAATTCCGGAAACGAAGAAGAGAAGACGCTATCACAATGCGGCAATGAATGCTACGCAACAAGAAGTCGATGCAATTAAAACTTTCTCGCACAGCGACTGAAGGCTGGTCACGTATGTGACCGCACTGTATTCCCGCCTTCTGTCTGGAGCAAACCTCAGGTGGTCAACACATTGTTTACACTTTCAACAATTTGACCGATGCGACCAAACCTACTCATTTATCTATTCTACAAAAGGATATGATCTCTGACGAAATGGTCGGCAGTACCGTCTTTAGCACTATCGTTTCGAGAGACGGTTTCTATCAGATTCGTATGCGTGAGAGCGATGTGAATTCCACTGCATTAAGAGCCCCTAGTGGTTTGCTGTAGGAATAAATTATAATATCACAATGATCTGAAGAGCGCGTCAGCGACCTCCAACTTGATGGTCGCAAATGTCTTTGGTCATCGAGAAAGTTTGCACAGAGCTACTTTGACGATATCATCGCTCATAGTGAGACTTTTGGGACGAAAAAGGATGTTGATATTCACGTTGAACGTGTTCGTCAAGCTTCCCCGTTTCTGCGAAACGATAAATGAAACGTCACCTTGAAAAGATGCATTTTGTTGCCCCTGAGATTCCTTATTCGTTGATTTGTTGGCAAGAATGTCGGTCAAAATGATCCTGAGAAGGTCATTGAAATTGACGATAGACTTATTTTAAGAATTTCAAACACTTCGTCAGTGGCTAGAACTTGCACAAAAAACTCGTGATCATGCTGCGTGGGTGCAACCGCTCACACGTCTTTCGAGATAGTTCAGTGAGAAGAAGGGTCTGAGAGGCATCAGCTAGCTTTTGCCTCAGTAAAAGAGGAGCTCCTATTCTAGCTCAAGCAGATCATAAGAAGCCGGTCCATGTGGTCTGCAATGCGAGCGATTATGCCACCAGGAATATAAAATTGGAACTTCGCCGACGCGTATTTTATGACCAAAAGTGCTTTGCCGAGGCATGAGTAGTTCCATTCTGCAGATTTGAGTTCTTGTGACTGATACGACACAACTCCTTTTTTGCCCTTATCATCGTGTTGCATCAGCGCTCACCCGTTGGGGAGCAGCTCGCTATTTAAACTGATCACGCATCGCTGCGGACAAATGGCAAGGTACACAAAATTGTACTTTGTACAATTTGTACATTCAAATTTCACAAAATCAAACATTCTCACCGATCCGCTGTCTAGACATCCGAATTATCAGCCGATGAACCAGAGGTACGGCATGAAAGAAGTGTGCTTAATCTATGAAGACGTCAACGACGAGCACTGTCCGAGAAGAATTAGCTAAAGGCTACAAGCATTTAAAATAAGCTAAAATATCTGGATTTACTCAGGCTCCTTTTCGACCGTTGCCCGTCGCTCTGGTCAGCTGTTAGTCTGCGAGAATAAGTTTTACGTTTGGACTTCTAAGCGACAATCACAGAGAAAATGACATCCTTATGTTTGTAAACGGATTTAAATTGATGTTGAATTTTACTGCGGTCTCGACAGAAATGACAGCGGAGATCTTGGCTATCTTGGTGTTTCATTTACTTTCGGAGTTCGTATCACTCAGTTTACGTCCAGATGCGGGCGTACTCTACTTAATGTCCTAAATTTGAAAATATCCATGTCGACAGCAATATACCCCGAGGAAGACTGTCAAACTGAGCGGGTGAAGCGTGACATGGAAGACTTGTTGCACAGCTACGCTTACGTCTTTTAAAGAGCGGAGTGATTTCCCCCCTCTGACAGAGTTTGCGCTGAACAACTCCGCGCATATCTCAAAAGGACACTCCAAATTATAATTTATGTGAAGTCCATCCGAGTGCCAGCGTCACTTGTGGTTCTTCTTGAGGTAGGAAGGAACTTGGCTTTAGAGCCACAGTCAAAATCTAAATGCTGTCGCAGAGCTTAAAGCAATTTTGACTCGATAAAACCTTTGTGAGACGACATATCAAGTCGTGAGGAGCAACAAGTCGATGACTTTATCGTGAAGGGACAAGCCATTGTGAGGTTTGTTCAAGACGCAATTGCGTAGGCCCAGGATCTGCAAATGAGGTAGCAGGTAAAACCGGAACGATCAACAAGCAATTATATAAGATCAATGATCTTAGTACGGCTGGCTTGCCTGAACGTGCACTGTCCAGCTTAAATAATCTTTAACTATCCATCATCTGAAATGCTATGTCTCTTTTATATTTTCTACCTCTCGAGTCAACGTTCGCGCAAAATCAAAGCCTTCCACCCATGCTCTTTTTGTTTTACAACGATCTAGCCTAAATATTATGTTTGTAGTCCCACAATGAATAAGCATTCTTCCCGTAGATTGAGCCCTTTGTATCCTCGAAATCAGCTAGAGTGTTTTCGTGTCCTAGACAGGGCTCATTGAGCAAGGAAGTTGTTAAACTCCAACAAATTGAGTTGCAGTAAGTGTGTTGACATTTTCTTCGTTTTTTCACCATAACCTGGGCAATCATTACGTATAC